GGTTCCCAGTACACTGGCTTGGAACCCTATGCAGAGTGCCTGGTGCACAATGAATAGCCACCATGTAGAGTTGTCTGCTGTATGGTGGTAACTACTTAGATACCACTTTGCCCATCTTTTTTGGTACTAGAGATCAAACTCAGGACCTTGCTCTTGAGAGGCAAGCAGTGGAACCACTGAGATAAATCTCTGGCCCATAAACATTGGCATAACCAAGACTTTCTTGTTGTATATATTTTGTTGTTGTTGTTCTTATTTTACTGGAGATCGAACTCAGGACCTTGTGCTTGTGAGGCAGGCGGAGAACCATTGAGACAAATTCCCGGCCCTGCCCATCTTTTAAAAACTTGTTAATTTCTACCAGAAGTTTTTATCTGACGAACTATTTCCCTGTTACCATGTTTTCAGATGCCCTAGAACTACCTCTTACTATATTACATGATTATCTAGCCTTTAATGTCAGAGTATCAACATTGATTTTCATGATGCCTGATATTTAATAGACTATTGAACGAATGGATGGATAAATGCATGTTTTGAAATTGCAGAAAGTGTCAATTAGTCATGGACACCTCAGAAGATTTCTGAAGTCTGGATCCATTGCTCATTGCAATTAAATCGTTTTCTAGCCATAGGCAACCAGGGCAGGGCCAACTTCATTTTGGCTTTTTCTTGAGCTCATCATTTCCCACCTTCAGCTTTGCAGCTTTCATTGTCACAATATTATTGTCATTTGAGTCAGTATATTATTGGGAGATTGTTCTGGTCCAGTGAACAGTGGACTAGCAAAGAAAAGAGGAGGAAAACACAACAAAGAGAATTCTTGGCATAACAAGAAAGCTCAGTCTGCATATTACTTAGGATAAGTCCCTGAGCCCTGTGCTTCTATGCAAATCAAAAAAGTCCTGGGTGACACATTTTTTTCTCATCTTTTTTCCTTAAATAAAATCTTCCTATTGACTATTAGTGGGTGGCTTCCTTAGTTTTCTTTCCACTATGGGAATCTATTACTCCAACTCAATAGCTATTATTTGTCTTTTATGCCACCTTTTGTAATCCTACCCACAGATAAATAACACCAGGTTCCTCAGGAAGCCTGTATTCTCCACCCACTCTCAGTAATTTTCACATCCTTATGCTACTGAAGCTAACCTGGGGGGGGGGATGACCTATCAGATACCAGGCTCTGAATGCAACGACTCCACCTTTAAAGCTGTTGAAAATTTTATTCTCCAGAAGGGTATTCTTTTACAGTTTCCCAGTCGGTATATATTCATGACCAACCCTTCTCTTCCTCACGGGCCAGGGAGGAGGAACATGTGGAGAACAAGTTCTCTTACTTCATCCTCCAGTCCTCCGTTTGTGTGTGGCTGATTTGGGGAATGTTTTGAGTTAAATTCCTAAAAGGACAGAAATATGTTTAGTTCTTTTTTTTTTTTTCCAAGAGTAGGAAAAGTTTATTGAGGAAAAGATAGCTTCTGCCTAAGAGAGACAGAAGGGGGAGCGGAAAGTGAGTTCCTCCCTGTTAAGTTCTTTTTTTCTCCATCCCCAGACTCATCATTACTCTCCATCTTAAGTTCTCTATTTAAAAAAATTATGCCAAATAATTTAAATTGCAAATTTGAAAATGGTTAGGGCTTCTTATCTCAAGTGACCTCTTTTTTCTTTTTTTTTTTTTTGTACCAGGGATCGAACTAGGGTCTTTATACCTACAAAGCAGGCGGAGGAACCACTCAGCTAAATCCCTTCCTAAATATGCTCGTATAGAACAGGGTCACAAAGCCAAATACCCTCAGGAAGGTGTGGATGCAGGAAGCTTGTTATGCTAGGACTTAGTGAACTAGAGAGTCCAAATGAGCCCCCCCCACAAAGCTTTTAATGACAGTACCACTGACATTATTTATATCAATACTCTTTCTAGACCCTCTGCTATATTTTAAGGAATGTGAAAGTGGGAATTTTTTAATGTAGAATTTTTTTGGTAAACAATTGAAGATATAGAAACAATGTACAGATCAAACAAAGCAATTCTGCAGGTATTTGATTAACATATTTAATGAATATTAGTTGAGAGCCTTTTTGTGCTAAACCAGGTGCTGACAGATACACTTAGTTCTGACCAAGATAGAGTTTGTTTCAGGTTGAATGCCAAAGCACATGTTGGAACTGAATTGCTAGTGTAATGATGTTAAGAAGCACGATCTTTGTGTTATGAGAGTCGTACCAGTGCCAGTGGGGTCGGTGCTGTTATAACAGGCTGAATTCAGGTGCTGCCTTTCCCCATGTGATGATGTAGTCCTCATCAGATATGGGCATCTTGATATTGAACTTTCTGTCCTTCAAAACCGTGGGCCAATACATTTCTGTTCATTATAAATTAGCAAACTGTCGATATTCTGTGATAGCAGCACAAAACAGAGGAAGACAGATGCTACACACATGGGGAATGACAGTCTGAATCAAAGGGCACTTGCAGCCCCTTGGTGAAATTCACGTGGTTGATAAATTATAGGGTGAGTTCCCCCTTGGGCCTTGAAATAGACTCATGATGGTTTTGAACCCCTGTTTGGGTATCACACTCTGCAGAGTAATTTTTTTTCTTTTTATTGAGTTTATTGGTACAATCTAGGTCTACAGTACAGTTACATTCATCATTGGGATCTTGTACCTTTTCATGACAGGTCTTGGTTCTCATTTTCCCCCTTGTCCCTGCCCTCCCTTCACCTCCTCCTCCCCTCCCCATTTACAAACACTTTATTTCCATTTTTTCATTTCTCATAATTTTTTCTTTCCCCTTATTCCCTTTCTCCTACCCTTCCCACTTTCCTTCCACCTTTAGCCCTTTTCTTCCTATTTCATATTGTCAATCATCTCATTAGGATCTTATGTACTATTATAGTTTTTCACACCAGAGAAACTATTTGGTATTTACACATGTGTGACTTATTTATTTCACTTAGGAGTATATCCTCAATATGTATCCATTTTCCTATGCATGAATCTAATTTCTCATTCTTTATGGCTGAGTAGTATTCCATTTTATAGAAAAACTACATCTTCTTTATCCAGTTTCCAACTGATGGGCAAATGGGCTGTTTCCAAGTTTTAGCTATTACAAACTGTGCTGCTATAAACATCGGTGCACATATATCACTGTGATACGATTCTTTAATTCTTTTGGAAAGATACCCAGCAGAGGGATGGCTGGGTCAAATGGAACCTGTAGGCCCAACTCTTTGAGGTATCTCTATATTGATTTGCATATGCAGAGTAATTTTGTGTGGTCACTTTTTCTACTCAGACATTATCTACCATCACTGAATACAGTCTTTCTTAAAATAATTGAATACAGTATATACTTGTTTGGTTTATTCAAGAAATATGTATTGGGCATTTATTTTGTGAGTTATGCAATTTGGTGGTGCTCAGCACAGGAACTTTCTAAAGAACTGATCAAAAATACAGTGTGTGTTTAAAATTTTTAAATTTATTACAAGAAAAGACACATCGTCATTCTCAAAATATTCCTCCTCACTTCCAACTTGCTCATCCAGCCTTCTTGCTACTTTCTGAAGCAGTTCTGGAGGTCCTCTTTTGTGAATTTTTTTTTTTGTGTGTGTGTGGCTGCTTCCATGTCCTGAGTCAATTAAAAAAGTTTATAGCAATTTCTGTCCAATAAAACATTATCAGCTGGACGTGGTGGTGCACGCCTGTAATCCCAGCACTCCGAAGGCTGAGGCAGGAGGATCGCTGTGAGTTTGAGATCAGTCTGGGCTACATAGTGAGTTCCAGGTCAGTCTCAACTACATAGTGAGACCCTGTCTCAAAAAACAAAACAAAACTTTATCATGTGTCCTCATCGACTTTATTCACCGGCTCTGACACTGTGTGACTTCTGGCTCTTCCCCAAAATTAAAACGACCCTTAAAAGTAAATGTGTTTAGTTGATTCAGGACTTTGAGGGAGCCACCACAGAACAACTAAAGACACTCAAGAGAAAGGATTTCCAGAACTGCTTCAGAAACCAGCCATAATGATGGAATAACTGTGCTTGAAAGGAAGGGTGGATTTCAAGGAGGATTGATGGCAATGTGTCTCTTACTGTAATAACTTAAAGTTTAAATATTCACGATATTTGCCAGGCATGCCTGGTGTATCACAGTGAGCCTTCCCACAAGCCTGAGCGCAGAGCGCAGGTCTGCACAGGGAAGGGCTGCTATGACACTCAGGCCCCTCAGAGAAGGAGCTGGACAGCTCTGGCCTCCTAGTAGTTCCAAGCACCAGAGCAGGCGGAAGTGGCTGCAGGATGAGGACCTGGAGAGCGCGCTATCACTGTCCCCTGTTCCCTTTCAGGTAAAGCTGAAGTGCTGCTGACCCCACTTTCCCAAAGAGGACAAAAGCAGGTGGGGGGCAGTGGCTCCAAGAGAGAACTAAGGACATTCTAGTGGGGTACAAGAGAAGACACCTGTTCTAATAAGTCTCTGTGCCACCTCCAAGGCATTTGTCTGTAACTACCTCTCTTTCCCAGTGAATCTAAGATTTATGAAATCAGGACCGTTTCTGTCTTGTCCTGCAAATCTGTTCCCAGCAGTAGGCTCAGAGTCTGGCCCATAACAAGAGTATAATTGAGGTTGCTGACCATGAGAGGAGAGCTTCTTGGGGCCGTAACTGCAGAAGAGGAAGGTGGTAGGTGACAGTGAGTTCTCACAAGGGTGAAGCTGAGAAGAAGGAGGTCTATAGGTGATGAGGAAGAGGACAGGCGCGACGCCCTGTGGGTAGGCAAGGGGAGAGGTGCAGATGAACGGAGGAGTTGGTATCCTGGGTGTGATGAGGTAAAGAGAAGCAGATCCTCAGAAGGGCTGAGCATACTGAGCAAGAGACTTTCTTTCCAAAGTTGGCCTAAGTCAGGGATTCCTGTGATGAGCTTCTCACTGAACAGTGAGTCACCACCAATAAGGCAGCATTAAAAGAACAGAGTTTTTAAATTACATAAAACTCACTTTGTTAAGAACAAATGTTAGCAGAGCCATCCGGGTCACGGCGTGTCGGTTTGAACACTGTAGCGGCGCCTCTGAAGAACGCACGCATCCGCGGCCGTTGTGCATGATCTTAAGTGTGCACGTAGAGCTCCTCGCTTCCCAGCCGTGAGTTATGTGGGCCTCTGTAAAAGGTCAGTGTATAATGATACGACATCTTTCCTGGTGACATTTTTCACCATGTGTTTTTCTACCCAAGATTTCTGAAAATCAATCGCCCAGTTTAAACTTTT